GGTCACTCTGGGCAGTCAGCATTACTATTATTATTCCAATTAGGGTGGGAAGATCACCAAGGCCAAGCTCCTTAGCTTTGCTCCGGAGTGGGGTGGGGGGTGGGGGTTCCACACAACTGGGGGGTCGAGCTGAAGATTTAGTCCCAACCCTGCCTTCCACCAGCTCTAGCTCCGGGGAAAACCCTCTCCCTTTGCTGAGCCTCAGTTTCTTTAGCTGTAAAACGGGGCTCCTCCTGCTCCACACTGCTTGTTGACCTTGCTGCAAGGCCAAGAGACAGACAGGGTACTCAACCTGAGAAGGCAAGCTGAATATCTAACTATACTTGCTAAGACCGGAGGCCACCAGGAAAGCAATGCAGCAGATTTGTACTCATTAATAATAACAACAAAAATAACAATTGTTTTTATTTAACGAGCACTTTTAATGGTGTTTTCAAATGTGCTAAGTATGGTTTAAAATGCCCTATGTATATTAGCTCATAAAATTCTCATAACAACCCTTTGAACTAGGTAAAATTATTTTCATTTTAAAGATTGAAGCCAGAGAAGTTAACTTCATAAACTCATAAAAATACCTACTCAGGGCCCGGGATTTAGCTCAGTGGTGTAAGAGTCTGCCTGGCAAGTGTGAGGTTGTGAGTTCTATCCCAAGCACCAAAAAAAAAAAAAAAAAAAAAACCCAAGAAAAAAAAAAAAACACCCCCAAAACAAAACAAAAAAACCCTACTCTATATTAAGTACCTATATATATCAGGGACCGTGCTAACTAAGCATGTAATAGATTTTTTTTTTTTTGTCTTTTTTCCTTTTTATAGGTATCGGGGATCGAACTCACGACCGCCTGCTTGCAAGGCAGTGCTTATGCCGCTGAGTTAAATCCCTAGCCCCTGTAATAAATATTTTTAAAAACCTGTAGCTGCTGAAAAGGCTGAAAACATTGCATAATTCAACACAAATGTAATATTGAAGCGCAACATAGGTACAATGGATGTATTGATTCATCAGCATGAAGGGAGGGTGTCTAGGATCTGTATATGCATATGTATTTTCCTTTTTGATGTTGCTTTAAGTGGAGGAAACTTATTTGATAGAATCTCTAATTTGTAGTCGTGTTACAAGACTAGTACAAGTTTGTGGGAAGGCCTTCTGAAATTTTTTGAGGGGGAACTCTTGAATTTTGAAAAAAAATCTGTCTCCCAGTATACATGCATAATATTGTTTTGAGGGGGTGTAAGTTCCTACCTGGCAAGCCCAAGGCTGTAAGTTCGGTTACAAGTAGCACACACACACACAAATTAAATTTAAAAATACTGTTTTGAACTATTTAAGGTTATATTGGGGACATCATGCCCTTTTATCTCAGAGGGTCAGGGTCAGTATTTATTTCCTAGGAGCAAGGATATTCTTTTGAAAATGTGTTTTTTTGTTTTGTGGTGTAATCTAAATGGCATTGAATCAGACTTTTTTATTTTATTTTTTGCTGTGCTGGGAATTGAACCCAGGGTCTCCTTTATGCTAGAAAGTGCTTTATCATTGAGCTACACCTCAGTCCTAATCACAGAATTTTTATCACCTTAATGAACATCCGGCACCAGGCATTTTATCAGAAACACTTCCAGGTGACTATCACATAGCAGTGCTCAGTCAAGGTCTGGCTACACTGATCCACTTCGTATGACTCAACCCCTGCATCCTCTGGGCCGCAGTTCCCTTGGGTGAAACAGGGCCCCGAGTTCCCTTCTGTGGGTGACTGTGAGGCTTAAATGAGATCGGTGAATATGAGCAGTGAACGTTGTCAACTGTAAAGTTCTGAACTCTGGAAAATATTATCTTCCCAGATGACAGGAGTAAGTTCATCTAGACCCTCCTTTTTCTGCCCCTAGATTCTTTCTTTCTTTTTTTTTTTTTTTGTCCCGGGGATCAAACTTACCACTTTGAGCTTGTCAGGCAGATGCTTACACCAATGAGCTAAATCCCCGGCTCTTTCCCTAGAATTAAGTGATCAGCTCCCCCAGAAATGTCCAGTGTACTCTCCTCTCTTCTGAAAAAGGCCTCTCAAGCATTCTTATTGGTGGCACAGATGTCCTTTACCAACAGGTAGTTCCTGGTTTGGGTTCAGGGAACAGAGGTCCAGAAGGCCTTTCCACAAGCCTGCTGACTGATATCCTATTTTTTTTTTTTTTGTATCAGAAATCTAACTTAGGACCTTGCCCTTGCCAGGCAGATGCTTGCCACTGAGCTATATGCCTACCCCACATATTTTCTTTTCTTTCTTTTTTTGGTAACAGGGATCAAACTCACAACCTAGAGCTTTCTAGGCACGTGCTTATGCACTGAGCTAAATCCCCAGCCCTCATTTTCTTTTCTTTTCTTTTCTTTTTTTTTTTTTTTTTGTCTTTTTCTTTTTTATCGGTACCAGGGATCAAACTCATGACTGCCTGCTTGCAAGGCAGGCGCTTATGCCACTGAGCTAAATCCCCAGTCCCCAGCCCTCATTTTCTTACCAATAAAGATACAACCTATCTGGTATGATGGCCCACACAGTACTCTGGAAGGTTGAGGAAAGAGAACTGAAGTTCTAGCCCAGCCTTGAGAACTAAGCAACTTAATGAGACCTTGCCTCAAATGAAAAAAATTTTTAAAAAGGACTGAGGACATAGCAGGATGCGAAGGTTTTGGGTTCATCTCTGGTACTGCAAGAAAAAAAAGATATGGCTGAGATGGTGAGGCTTCTTTTACCTGGTGACAGGAACACACTTTTTTTTTTAAAGGACCGGAGAGTGCCCGCGGGTCTCGAACCACAGGACCAATCGGACCAATCAGCCCGGGCGGTTGGGAAGCCAGACTCGAAGGAACCGCTGGGCTAAAGCCAGCCCAGGAACACACTTTTGTATGTTTGTTTATCCAGAATACCAGTAAGTCTTCGCTGGCCAGGTAAGGTGACACACACCTGTAATCTCAGCTACTTAGGAGGTTGAGGCAGGAGGACTGCAAGTTTGAGGCTATTTCTTCCTAGTATGTCTTAGCTTTCCCCTGTGCTCCCTCCCCATCTTTGGTGGAGCTAGAGATTTAGCTCAGTGGTATAAGCACCTGCCTGGCAAGTGCAAAATTTTGAGTTGCTTTAATCCCTAGTCCAAAAAAAAAAAAAAGTTTCCTCTGGTGGTACCAGGGATTGAATTTAGGTCCTTGTGCTTACTAGGCTGAGCTACAAGCCCTGGCCCTCCCTATGCTCTGTTTGCCTGTTTGTTGAGACCAGGCTTCACTCTGTATCCTCAAGCTGGTTTTGAACTCACTATGTAGCCCATACTGACCTCGAACTCTTGGCAATCCTCTTGCCTCAGCCTCCTGAGTGCTAGGATTATAGGTGTGTGCCACCACTTCCAACTTTCTCCTTGAGCTCTTATTTAGAACTTGATGCATTAAGTTCAGAAAATTTTGTGTCTCCCAGAGTATTTACCATTTTTTTTTTTGTTTTTCTCAAAGCATTTACTATTTACTCACTCATCAGTAAGAGATACAGAGAAAAAGCTGTGTTGAACTCAAAGAGCTGGAACCCTAGAGGAATTAACCTGTGTTCATTCATTCACTCAATAAACTTGTACTGAGCCAGTTTTGTTTCCCCCTTCCCCGCCTGGACCTCCATATGGGAGACAAAACTTGGTCCAAGATAGACAGATGTGGTTTCTGCTTCCTGGAGGGAACTTTAAAGTGCCTGTGTGTGCACGCGTGTGTGTGCACGCGCCTGCACATGGAGGGTGATGTAAACAAGAAATATATCCAAAGAATTTCAGATAGCTTTACGTGCTACCTAAATAGAATGAACAGACTGAAGTGGTGGGAAGGTGAGAGTGTTCAGGGGAATAATCAGGAGAAAGCCTTTCCTGAAAGTGACCTTTTGGGAGAGTTCTGAGTTTGAGACAAGGTTTCACTATGTAGTTCAGGCTGGCCTTTAACTCACTGTGCAGCCTATATGTCAACTCTGGGTAATCCTCCTACCTCAGCCTCCTGAGTGCTGGGGCTACAGGCATGCAGAAATTGGCCAAGCAGAGAATTGCAATGTAGAGACGTGGGTAACGAAGGTGGTGGAAAGAGACCAAAGGCTCAAGTGTTGGGAAACGCTGTTTTTTTTGAAAAACAGCAAATAGGGAAGGTTGGAGTAAAGTCAGAGGGAGGTGAGGGTAGGAGATGCCTTAAGAGGTAGGCCAGGTCAGCTCACTCAGTCATTTATCACATACTTATGGAGCATCTGATCCTGTCCTCAGTTAAGTGTGTGGAGACAGATACAATGATAAGCAGCAAACAAAAATACCAGGCAATAAACATTAGGAGGTGCCAGTTTGCAATACTGTAGTTCATTGCCCGCTGGATGGCAGAGGCAAGAGACCTGATAAGCAAGGTGAGGGGTCTCCGCCGCAGCTGGGGGATGCGGTGGGCCCGGGGGAGCTAGGCGGCCTGGACCTGATCGCCTCTTTCCCCTCCCCTCAAGATGGCTGACTGAGGTCGAACGGGGAAAGGGGAGCAAGGACCAGTAGTGGGTGCTGGGGGGGGGGGGACCAGCGGGGACACCACTGCTTCCAGGTGCGACTGGAGGTGGAGTAAAGCGGCGCTCCAGCTGTGTGACCGCCGCATGGGCTCGTCCCTCTCTGGAGCTGGCACCCTGATATGTCTGTGGATCTTCGGTTGGGGTGACCTGGAGGGCCAGGCGAGGGCTCCAGAACGAGTGCCGGAGGACAATTGGATGCCCCTCAGGGCTTGTGATCCGGGAAAGCCATTTTTTAAGTGGCCTGGAAACTCGAGGCGGTGGCCACGGAGGAGGGGCGGAGGGAGGCTCCGGAGTGATTTCAAATTTCCCTCGCCTGCTCCCCCGGCGCCCGGCCGGGCTCTGAGTGGCTGCGGCGGGGGCGCCCCCGGGCGGGGGCGGGGCGAGGGCCGAGCCGGGGCTACAAGGGGAGTCGGCACCGCCCCCGGCCCACCCTCTGCAGCCGCCTGGCCCGCCGCGCCGTTCCCTGGAGGCAGCCGCCCCGACGCAGCTGCAGCCCGCGAGGACGCCCCGCGCCGAGCGCCCCCCGACGGACAGCACCGGCCCGCTGGCTCGCGGGCGAGCGTGTGGCCGCGCCCGGCCGGCAGTGCAGGGGTTAAGCCGCCCAAGTAAACGTAGCGCGGCGATCGGAGCCGGAGATTCGCGAGCCGGGCGCCCTGCGCGGCAGCCTGCCGGCCCTCCGCCCGCCGGACCCGACCCGCGGCGCGACCGCGGCGCCGCGCCCACACCAGCCCCGCGGCAGGTGAGGTCCCGCCGCCCCGGGGGCTCGCGGTCCCGTGGCGCCGAGGCCGGGGTCGAGGGGCGCGGGGTCTGCCACGGGGACCCCCCGCGGGACCCGGCCTGGCTGGGTGGAGGCGCGCGGAGAGATCCCCCGACCCTGCTTGGGGTGGTGTAGGGAGGAGGGGGTGGGTCTCACAGGGACCAGGACGCGAGGGAAGAGTCAAGCCCAGTCTCCTGCGGAACCCCCCGGGCAAAGAGGAGTTCGAACGGGGAAAGGGAATGTGTAGTTTCTCTGGGGTCGGGAGTCGAGGGGAGGTGCCCCCTGGACAGCGGCGAGGGAGCGGCACTTTGCCTACGAAGGGGCTTCCTTACCTGGCTTCTGGCTTAGCGGGAGCCGCCTGGGTCAGGCTCTGGGAAGGGAGAGGACCAAGTGCTGGGGAACAGCTCGGCGTCAGTCACTGCTGGCTTGGGTGAGGATTCGGGCGAGAGACCCTCCCAAACAGCACTTCTGTCGATACGGACGGGCAGGTGGACTTGGGTGCACTCGCGTGTCCGGGGCGAGCTAGAGGAGGTGACTCCTAGGGGTCCGCGGAGCCAAGCCCCCGAAGGCGCGGCGCACCGGGCAGGACGCCGCGGGAGGAGGGGCCGCCCTGCGCGCACCTGGCCCGGGAGGAGCTGGTCGGGGGCGGTGCCGCTGCCTCCGGGGCTCACTTTCCATTGCGAACCTCTTCCTGGGCCCAGGTTCACCCCACTTCCCAGATTGATTGATTCACTTCACTGTTCACTGAAGCCTTAGAACAACCTCGCAGCACACCCAGAAGACGAGCTTCCGTGCCCGTGTGGTTGTTCGGGGGCGCTTTTAGAGCCCTACATTACTGGGGTGAAAGTGGAGGCGGAGAAGGTGTGGATTGAGCGAATTAGAAGTGAGGGCTGCCCTGGGGCGTAGGTTCCCCCTGGAGCCTCACCTCCAGCCGAGTCCTGGGCCTCCGTATACTGTGCCTCAGTCTCCCTCCCGCCCTTGCTGTTCTCCGCGCCGAGGTGGAGGCTCGCGGCGCCCCTCTGCCTTCCTTCCCCCACGCTGAGGTGTATGAATTAAAGGGAATTAAGGGCAGAGTATGAACTTTGAACTGCCTCCGGAGTTGTGGATGTTGTGGGTTTTGGTAGACTGGTGGCAATTGTTTTTGGGAGACAGCTCCCGCTGGGCCCGCCTCTTAGAGGCCGCAGAATGCTGACCTTCCTCTGGCCCTCCTCTACCGGACCTGCTGTGGCTTCAGTTTGCTGGCCCTTGCAAACCCCAGGTGCAAACCTTAATTTTTAGAGCTGAGATACGACCAATTTTATTTTTTTGCGGTGCTGAAGATCAAGCCCCGAGCGGAGGCTGATGTAGGCTAGGAAAGGGCTCCACCAACGAGATAAACCCGCAACACCAAGGTGACCCTACTTGAGCTAGAATATATTAAATACTCAATAAAAGCTTGCAGTTTATTTGCTTCATCAGCTCTCACGTGGGCTAGTCAGTCTAGGCATGGGAGTCTCAGGCTTGTGCTTAAATCTTGTTTCAGCAAGCTCATTCCCCAACTCTTATTAAATCTGCGAAATAGGAAAAATTGTGTAAGATGAGGCCAGTTTTACACATTACTTCAGCCCACCATCTTCCTCGGTGTAATATCCTTTGCCTTGAATAACAGCTCTAAGGAATGGTCAGTACCTTCGTTGCAATTGGCACTTGGTGAATATTGTCAGTATTAACCACTGGTCCACCTTTTTAGGGTGGCATTTATGAGAATTGGGGATGGAGGGAAGAGGCACTAATGCCCCACCCCCCTTTCCTTACCTCGGATACTCTATTTCCTCCTCTGCCATTAAGCTTTTCCAAGTCAGTGTTGTCCACGATTGGGAGTTGACAGGAAGGACTGCCTTTGTTCCTTTTTGAAAGGAACCTTAGTTTTTTATGGGTTGGGTCCATTTAAGCCCCACACCCCAGTTTGAGGCAACAGGGAAGATGTAATTGCAGAGCTGAGACCCTTTACTTTTTCCTCCTTTAGAGCAGAGGACTGAGACAAAAGAGGCCAGGGCTATGTCCAGCCACATCCTCCTAAGCTGGAGGCATAACTTCTACCTTTCCATGGGGTTGGGGGCAGGGAGGAGAGAATCTGCACTGCAGGGGCCCAAGGGAGTAGCAAGGTCCGGGCTGGGGAAGCTGCTTCCCAGACCTCTCTTCTTCCTGCCACATGGGGCCTGTCATCTCTCATTCTGCCACAAGGACCTGTTTGCTTTTTTTTTTTCCTTCCATTTTCTTGCAGTGTTGCAGATGGAACCCAGGGTCTCTTGCATACTGAGCAACAACTTTATCCCTTAGCTATATCCCAGACCTCCAAAATGAGTTTGGACACCTTCCCCAGGGAAAATTTATTACCTCAGGATTCTCCCATGCCAACATCTATCTCCAGCATCAAGCACCTCCAGTTTCGGGGCTGGGGATTTAGCTCAGTGGCATAAGTGCCTGCCTTGTAAGCAGGCAGTCATGAGTTTGATCCCTGGTACCGATAAAAAGGAAAAAGACAAAAAAAAAAAAAAAAAAGAAAAAGAACCTCCAGTTTCCTCGGAGACAGCCCTTGCTAAATATGAAAAGCTTTTGGGTCTTATAAAGTGGGTTGTACTCATTTCTCCCCGTCTGATCCATGCAGAACTTTGGCCAAGGTACATTCTTAATTTGGGTGAGATTTGTTTATTGATTGATTGAGACAGGGTCTCACTATTTAGTTCAAGGATAGCTTTGAACTCCCTTATGTATCCCAGGCTGGCCTCAAACAAGTGGCCTTCCTGCCTCAGCCTCCCCAGTCCTGGGATCACAGGTGTGTGCCACATGACCATTTGATTTGAGTGAGGTGTTTAAATTTTATATCATATAGTCTGGCTTATTTGGGGTTTGGTGAACCACAACTGAAGTGTGCAATTCATTTCATTTGTACACCATGCTTCTACCAAGGTCCTGGGGTGACCTCTGCCTTATGAGGGCTGATACTGTTCACTGGGTACCTTGACAGATACAGCATCTGGATCTTTGAGCTCCAGTGAGCTCTCAATATATATATATATACTGGGGATTCAACTATGACCTCATGCTTGCCAGGCAGGTGCTCCTGCTGAGCTAAATCCTCAGCCCCTGACTTGGTGGTGAGCACTTTGCAGAATGAGATTCCACTGTCACCATGGGAGCCCAGTGTTTTTTCTTACCGGAAGTGTAGAAGCCCTATGCAGAGGCTGAAAGTGGTCTGGCAATGCAGGGGATGGCTGCACATGGGGCAGCTTTGGCAAAATGAAGTCTCTTTCCATTTGTGAAGTGGGTAGAACTACACCTACTAAGCATAGTTACTTAATGGAATTCAGGGCCTTTCAGTTTAGCAAATTTTAATTGCTCATTCACAAAATTAGTTGGGGCTGGGGGAGCCCTAAGTATAAAAAGCACATTCATTATTTGTAGTGTCTGAGGAGGCCAAAGGTAACAGATTTACAGATTAAAGGAGCCAGGGTCTTTGTATTCCTGGTCCTTTTATTTAGACAGGGCCTCACTAGCTCAGGCTGGCCTCTGACTCACTGATTGATCTTCCTGCCTCAGCCTCCCACATGCTGGAATTACACGAGTGCCACCACACGTGGCGCGAATCTTTATTTTGTTAGTGAGTCAAACTCAGATCCTTACTCTGGAGGTAGGTGCTGTGCCAGCTAAATTTCTGGCCTGTAACCTGGGATCTTTTTATTTAAATTCAAGACCTCACATTTGCCAGTCAGGCTCTATATGCTGCTGAGCTATATTCCCAGTTCATAAGATTTTTTTTTTTTTTTGGTTTTTTTCGTTTTTATCGGTACCAGGGATCAAACTCACGACTGCCTGCTTGCAAGGCAAGCGCTTATGCGCTGAGCTAAATCCCCAGCCCAGTTCATAAGATCTTTAAAAATTTTTTTTGGTACTAGGAATAGAACTCATGTCCTTGTACTTACTTGCCGGCATGTACTATGGGATCTTTTTTTTTTTTTTTTTGTCGTCTTTTTATCGGTACCGGGGATTGAACTCACAACTGCCTGCTTTGCAAGGCAGGCGCTTATGCCGCTGAGCTAAATCTCCAGCCCACTATGGGATCTTTTTAAAATTAAGTTATGAACTGATATATAACTAGCAGTAGAGCCCTTGGCTAGCATGTGTGAGGGCCTTGGTTTGATCTTAACACTAGGCAAAAAATGTTTTTGTTTTTACGTTAAGTTTTGTTGCTACAGATTAAACCCAGAGCCTCTTGTATGCCAGACATGCAGTGTACTACTTACACCCCACTCACCTGTCCACTTTTTCTACTTCTGGAGGTGGAATCCAGGGACTCACTCATATAAGGTAGGCAAGCACTGTACCATTGGACTACCCGCTTCCCCAGCCTTTTTCTAATTTTTATTTTGAGACAAGGTCTCACTTTAAATCTTCCTTCAGCCTTCCCAGTATTCCCGATTACGGGCTTGTGCCACCACCCCCGGCCCTCAAACCATCTTTAAAAATTTTTTTTTTTAATATTTGTGCCTTTTCAAAACAGGGTTTCATTATACAGGTCAGGCTGTCCTTGAACTCAGAGCTTTGTATCCCAGGTTGGCCTTGAATTTACAGCAGACCTGCCCCAGCATCTCAGTGCTGGGATTACAGATGTGTGTCATTGTGCCCACCCCAATCTTTTTCATGTAAGTAAAAATTCAAATTTTGTAGTCTTGAAAGGTTTGGGTGTTTTCCGTAATTGCCACCCTAAGATAATCACTTTTGCCAGTTTTAGAGCTTCTCAATTCTAGAAATATAGAAAAATGTAGATAGAACCAGATAAGACTTTCCTATGAAAAAGGACATGATCTAAGTAATGTAAAGGGGCAAGGAGCTTGGTCTCAGTTACTGCTTTTGAGACAGGACCTCAGCGTGTTTGTTGCTCAGGATGGCCCTGAACTTCCTCAGGCTCCTGAGTGCTAGGATTATGGGCTCATGTTGCCTTG